ATAGATTTGAAGCTTTTGAAGCTTTTGAAGAAATAAAAGGAAAGGGGGCCAAAAGCAAAAAAGTCTATAACATAGTCATAAATATAGATATAGATATAGATATAGATACTGTTATAGTCATAGTTGTAATTATAAATTATATATATACTCTTAGTCTTCGATTTCTATCTCATATAGTATATTACTAGATTAGATGATTCTGAATAAAAAGGGTATAGCGTGAAGATCATTCTGATGGGGAGAAAAGACACTGTTATTTAAAAAAATTATATGGGGGAGGGAAATGGGGGATGAGGGATAGAGGATAAGGGGTGAGGGATAAGTCAAGGAAGAGGGAAATGAAAATGGGAATAAAAGAATAAAATCAAGCTAATGCTGAAATAGGTTCTTTTATGGTAGAGTGTACTTACTTACTACTTAGACGGGTATCTATATCTACAAATCCAACCCAACAAATAAACAATAAGATTCGATAATATCATCTACTGAGTATTCATTCATCTTACAATAGAAAATAAAAAATAAAAAATAATGAACACAACTTTTTTTTTCTAACTGGAGACTTCAACTCGGAATCGGATTTGGAATCATAAGGTTACTACTGACTCTTGGACTTTCGATGATGATGAAGTATGAAGTATGAAGTGTGAAGTGCATGAAATGTATAAAAGGGGGAGGTTATCAAGATTTCCACTTCCATTTCTATTTGATATACTACTCATATACTCGAGTATATTGTTATATGACTATAGATTTCCTTATAAACCTTTCATTTTTAGCCTCCTCACCTCACCTCACTTTAAGTCATTAGCTTTTAGTTTCCAGCTTCTAGCTTCAGTATAATCGTACCTACAATAACAATTACCCTCTCCCCCTCGTCCTCCCCCCCAAAAACACGGCTCAAATAATACATATCTATATCGACATCCACATCTACATCTACATCTACATCTACATATACCAACCACAATTTCTATCTACCTCCCGCTCTCAAATCTCAAATCTCAAAATTCAAAATCCCTACCTCTCCTCTCCAAACCCCTTCTTTTCGTTCTTTCACTAGATCATCCCTATACCTATACCTAAAATAGAAAACTAAACTCGATGAAAGGTTCCCTTCTCCCGGACTTGTAAGATATATTAAGATATGATTGTTGAAGCAAAAGAAAAGGAAAAGAAAGGAAAGGAAAGGAAAGGACTCGAGTACTCAAGTAGAGTTGTATATCCATACGACTACTACTATACCATCACTACTATATTACTCACTATCCCACCACCCACCAGACCAACTATCAACACACACATCCCGAAATACATTTCAAAATTATATTTATAAACATAATTCATCATCTCACTCCAGCTCGACTCGGCCCGATCTGGCTAGTAAATTTACCAAGTGGCAAGAAATTCGAATGTGTAAAATAAAATGTTTAATCGATATAAGTTTTCATTGGATTGTCTAATTACTATAATCAATAATTAATCTATCGATCGAGTGTACCAGATAATCTATATCTGTACTGTAGATAGATAAGTAAAAGCACAGGGTATAATCATCATCCTCTTCTTTCTTTACTTCTTCCTCTCCCTCTTCCTTTCTTCCCACACGTACATATATCCACCTAAACATTACACCCAATCATTCAAACAAACCCCCACTCCCTCCTAACTCCCTCCCACTCCCCCGCTCCCACAATCTGCACTTCTCTCCCCCTCCCCGCCCCTTTCCTTCTAAATCATTCCATCTCAAATCCACCTTCGCTGCCACATCACCCTTGACCCTCTTCAATCCCTTCCTACCCGTCCCCACCCCCCTCCCAACATTGCCTTCCCTCTTCCCCAGCATCTTCCCCTTCCTAACCACCTCTTCCTTCCAAGCTCTCCAATCTTCATATCCTTCCCTCTGTCTTGCAACCCAGTAACCAGGGGTACTCTTCGCAGGTCTCCATTTCCCCCTATCCTTCTGTATAGCCCCCAAATCATAGATTCTCGAATTTTCCCCCGTAGCCAATGTCAAAAGTTCGCTAAGAACATCTTGACCCTCCGCAATTACTAACGATTTTCTCTGTTCTTCTATCGATTTAGGTTTCATTAACGGTTCATCCAACCACGACATATTTTCTCTTTCGGAAAGTTTTACGCGACGATTATCCTCGCGAAGATATCGGACTGCAGCTTGTAGACTAGCGATTTCAGTCTTGAGAGCATTCATCTCACGAGCCGTAGCAACAGCACGTTCTTGACCTGCTTTAGAGCCCGATACGACTTCACCCAATGCTTTACTTTCATCAGCAATCTTCTTCCACTTTTCGCGATCGGCTTCCATGGTCGATAATTCTTTATTTTGAACCTCAATGGCTTCGGCGAGTTCTGCTTCGCGATTCTTGGCAACTTCGATTTTGCGCTCTAATTCGTTGATGCGTTCGTTCTTCTTGGTGGCATCTCTCATGCGACTTTCAAGGAGTTCTATTTTGACGGACGATTCTTCGAGGGTTTGATCGCGCAAGGCGATGTGGCGGAGACGCTCGTGATTGTCTTCTTTGAGGCGGCGGAGTTCTTCTTGAGTGTCGATAGTCACGGTCTTGGAGGATTTCAGCTCTTGAGATCGGAGGATCCAAGGGGGTGTTGCGAGCTCAAATTCTTGGGTCATTTCGAGGTCGGATGTTAAGGTTGAGAGATCAACTAATTGGTTGTTGAGGAGTTTGAGTTTGCTAGCGTAGGTGGAGAAAAGGTCGGATTCATCGGTTGAGAGAGTGTTGTTCGTGGTCTGGTAGATGGTGCTTTGTACTTCAACATACGTGTATGGCTCAGCTCTACCCTCCTCGTGTAATAATGTATATAGGTCATTTCCTACGTGACGAGTGTATTCGGTAAGTTGTTGAGTTGCTACTTCGCATTGTTCAAATGACTCAATGGTATTAGGCATCAGTGATAATGATCGAGCTCTCAAATCTTCAATTTCTCGAACCGCTTTTCCAACTATGACTTTTGCACTACGTGTCTGAGTAATGACTGCCTCGGTCTTCTTAAAGAAATGTTGGAAGAGTTCGTCATCTTCCTCTTGGTTGGGAATAATAGTTTGCACCATTGTCCTGGTAGACGTGATTGCAGCTGCAGCATTCTCGAGCTGGCTTTGCATGATAAGAGTACGCATATAAATCTCATCAGCATAACTAGCAAGTCCAGTCGAGATATGAACTTCGGCGAGATGAGACATAAGAGCAATAGTACGCTGTAATTCGGTGGCACATTGCTTTTCCTTTAATTCGTCCCTTCTCAAGCCGTCTATCCACCCATTGAGGGCTCTCTCTACGGGCTCGAGTTCGTATAGTGCGCCTTCATATCTACCAAACTCCTCTATCGAGCAATGACTGATAGCATTGACAAAACGATCACACATGGCACCAACCCATACAAGTTTGTCAAGAACATCACAACCAGCGAATATATCATCCTCATGACCAGTAGGTAGCTGACCATTTACCCTCTCCTTGACAAATCCGTGCAAGAGATTTGCTTTGAAAGCTACCCGTCGGAACCTGAGCAATGCCAAAATCGAATCTCTCTCTGCACTGAAACCATCCGGTAAGAACAATTGAACGATCGACAAATGCTCCGATGCCTCTTGAGCGTCTAGGCGTCGCAATTCGAGGTCGATTGTCTTGACCTGTGTTTTGGCAGCAGAAACTTGGAGCTTCATGTTCAGATCTTGCATTGCACGTGATCGACTGTTCAATTGTTCCGATTCTGTTTCTGTGACCGCGTGTGATGCTCTTATATCTTCCAAATCGCTTTGCAAACTGGTGACTAACTCACGGAATCTTGACAGGGTGTATTCCATGTCATCCAAGGACTCATCTTGTTGGACCGCTCGCTTTGTTTGCTCGTTGATAATGCTCTCCTTGAAGTCGATTTCCTCCTGCATCTCTTTCTCGGTTTCGACATGGTTAATCTCAAGTTCATCATTGAGCTCTTTCAAGCTTTCGAGGTCCTCAATTGTAACCTTGAGTTCCTCAATCTGCTCACTCATACTCATATTTCGATCGGTAAGTTCTTCAATCATGTCTTCGGCACCTAGAGCATTGTCTAGTTGTTGACGAAGATCTTCGATGACAGCTTCTGATTGGGCAAGTTTTCCCTTCACCACATCATAATGTTCCTTTACACTACCGAGGTCTCTAACATCCTCTCGTAAACTCTTGATCTCGTCTTTGAGCTCGGCCTCAGCTTGTTGTGTCAGATCCCGGAGCCTCAGGAGGGCTTCCGTTAACCTTTCATTCTTTCTCTCCATTTGCAGATAGCTCTGGCTGGTCTTTTCTTCCGCGTTCATTTCTCCACCAAGTTCAGTATTCTCGTCTTGTAGTACTTCGATTTCTAACTCCAACTCTTCAGTCTTCTGTTTGAGGGCATCCAATTCAGTCCTGAGCACTTCGGCTGTCTCTTCTGCCATCTCCCTATCTAGGGTCGCCATTTCGAGTATGGACTCATGTTCGGCTTGCATGCCTTCCGCTTCCTCAAATCGAGCGGCAAATTCTTTTAACTGTTTCCGTAAATCGGTGATTTCTTGTTGCTGAGGTTGATATTTCGTTTGCAGCTTTTGAATAATCCCCTCAAATTTCTCCTTTTCTACTTGTACATTTTCCAAAGCTTTCAGCTTCTCCCTATCCTCCACTCGTTTCTTTTCCATTACTCTAAGTTTCGTTTTCAGATCCTCAATCTCCCTGCTAGCTGCTGTGCTCGTTGCTCCACGCTGCGCTGCTGGAGAACCTGCTGGTGAAGCTTCTCGCCCCGTTCTTGATATGGCAGGACTTAAAGCTTGCGGAGATAATTGGTCTGTGTCACTCCTCAATGAGGGTGACAAAAGTCTATCTTCATCAAAAGTATCATGAGTTCCATCGCTAAGGTGGCCGGTACTGACTTGACTAGAGCCTGATGGCACACGGTCCGAAGCAGGTCGAAGTGTGCGTTTAGGAGCCAAAGATGTGGGACGAGCACCAGTGGTCCGTATTGCAGGCCCCCCTAATCTATTTCCTACGCCACTACCCCCTGCTAATATCTTCCCTCGACCTGCAGGCGGAGGTGGTGGTCCCATCGATGTTCGGCTGGTTACAGATGATGGTCGCGGTTTAGAAACACCGCCAGAAGGTGCTCGAGAGTTCGCGGGTGTTCCAGTTCGCGAAGTTGAGGCAACCGAAGTACCTGCAGAGTATAGCTGTTTTGTAGGGGATTTTGTGGGAGACTAGACATAGCATTAGCATAAGCATAGCATGAATTCGAATATGGACATACACGAAGATTTGCAGCCCCCCTTGCCATAGGACTTGGACTAGGGGCATTCATGCTTTTCCTTTTAGCTACACCATTATCCGGCATAGAACTTATCCTCCGTGCTACTGGGGCGATGACACTGCTTGGTCGGCCTGGCTTCTTTGCAGGTGCAGGCGCTTTTGGGGGTGGTGGAGGTCGATCTACTATCGTAATATTTGAGGGCCGAACGAACATTCCACGACCCATATCACATTGGAAATACCGTCTGCCCAGAACACTACCATCATTTTTACCTCCTCCATCTTCCAACTCAACTCCAATCCAATCCCCTGAAGCGAATATCGGATCGGTTCCTATATAGAGAACAGTTCCTATAGCACCATTTCCAAGTTCGACCGTTTGGCCAATTTCGAATTCAGCCATGATGTGCGAATCATCTGAGAAATATTAAAACTGCGGTTGAAAATTATGCGCTCAGAGAAGTTGTTAGAGCTGTCGTTGCTATGTAAATAATCGAAATGTTAACAATAATGTCCTATGGGTCGCGTTCGCGGCCAAACAGGATATGATTATGTAATCAGTATATTGACCCATGCTGTTGGTGCGACGCCATAATCACATCACGAAAGAATAATCTAACACAACTCATCTTTGGATTATACACTTAAATGGCATGGCTTTTTACAGTGGTCTCACAACAATTGACTACAGTTCTTTCTTTGTATCTCAAACGACACAGAGTTATCAGTCATCTCTATATTCTCTCTTCTAAGTAGAAAGCTATTTCACGTATATCTCCTCTTCACCCCTTAAACAAGAATCAAGAGTTCCATACTCGAATTGTATCCAATGATATATGTGTGTTGTTTGCATTATCAGACAGAAAAACGGGAATCAAAATCAAGTACTGTAGTATATGTGATCTTATTGGAATTCTATCATCTCACAAATCTTTGAACGAAAACATCACCATATCCCATCTTCCATCCTCATACTTCCATCTCATCAGATCAGCCCTCTCACCTCTACAAAAGCACAACAGCAACCCCCACAACCGCCGCCAAAACACCTCCCAGCCCCTCTCCACCTGCCAACCTCTCTCCCGCTCCCATCTTATTACTCGTCCCGGTCGCCGCACTAGGCGCTGTTGTGGTCGCCGTAATCCCACTGGTGAACGGCGCACTAGCCGCACTCGTTGCACCTTCAAACGCAATTGGTTGGGAGACCGCAGTAGGGTCTTCTACAATGGTGGAGTTGGAGGGGTTGAGTACGTTGTCGATAACGTGCATGACACCGTTGGATACAATGATGTCGGTGGTGATTACTTGGGCGCTGTTGATGAAGACTTTGGAGTCTTCGGAGGTGACGGTCAGGGATTGTCCCATGAGGGTGGGGAAAGATTCGTTGGCTAGGCCAGAGGTTAGGAGGGTGGAGTAGCCGACCTGTTGGTGAGTTAGTTTAACTATTGATAATGTGAAAGTGGGATATGCATACGGTGCCATTGATAACATGGTATTCGAGGATCTGACTGAGTTGTGCCATGGGGAGCGCAGCAGCCGTGTTTCCAATTTTCTCAAAAGCTTCGTTGGTTGGGGCGAAGATGGTGACATCTTTGAGGGAGTCGACTGGTTCTACGAGAGATGTATCTGTGAGGGCACCCGCAAGAGATAACAAGTTTGAGTCGATGGCTGACATGGATGGGGAGATGGGAATGGTAAGAACTGTATCAACAATGTGCATTACGCCTCCGGTAAACATGATATCCTGATATACGTGTCAGATCTGGCTTTGCAATGATCTTTTTAGAACGGATAAAATTTGGAGAATGGCTTACAGTCATTGTTGTCATACTTGTCTCTTTCAACCCAGTCGTGACGACAGCGTTTGAACCATCCAAAGCAACCTGTACAACTTGTCCACCAGTGACTTGAGTGTAGCTCTCATTTGTCAAAAGCGTTGGAATAAATTGTGGCTCCATTGTGAATTTGCTGGCTGGGAAGTTACCGTTCAATACGTGATACTGAAGGATAGCTGCGACAACATCGCTTTGACCAGCTGCGGCTTTGTTTGCAGGCTCGGCGAGAAATTTGGTGAAGGCAGCGTTGGATGGTGCCAGGACTGTAATTCCTGATGAACTGTTGGAGAGAGCGCGGACAAGTGCAGGTTGTTGCCCAAGGAGCACTGCAAGAGTTAGCGTAGCTTAAATGAAAGGTATCTTGAAGAACTTACTGGAAAGAGTAGAAAGAGTATCAATATTCCCTGCAATGGCTTGGGATAATGACATTTGAGCAGTTACGCTCGAGGCAAGAAGTGCCAGCGAGAAGAATGATGGTGTATACATTATTATGGAAGGAGTGGTAATAGGATCAACTATTACTCAACTATGCTTTGCACTGCAAAAAATATTAAAAGAATAAGGAGGAATGGATAATTATCAAAATGACCGAGCAGAGAAATAAATGAGGGACGGAATAGTAATATATAGGAGACAGAGATATCTCTCTCGAGCGAAAAGCGGAACTTGGAAACGCCTCGCAAAAGGAACATACTCGCAAGTAGATTTCTCAGACCAAAATGTCTTATGGCTAGAGATCTTTGATGCCGAAGGATCATGTCTGTGACCCTATGGTGGATTTGAGCTAACAGAATATAGCACAGACTGACGATTTGTTAGTGATAGATAGAGCTTGCCAATTGACTGCTGGTACCGAGTGGAATGTTTGAAGCACAATTGCAAAGCCCAATATTCTCCACAAATAAGAAAAGCAGCTAGAGAAAGTAGAGGGGGGAGTTTCTCTCTAGGAAGACATACTCGGCAACACTAGAAAGCTTGAGTTAGAAATATAAGGTTAAAAAATAAGGTTAATTGATAGGTGGAGTGTGCATGAAACGAGGTATGTTCATATCTCAAACGCGGGGTATCATTGGTCGCATAAAATGTCAAAGCTACTCAAACACGAGAAGAAACAATTGAAACATTCGGCTCAGATAAAGATCCGATAGAGTGCTTGCAGAAGGGGTGCGTTCCGAAGTTTCTTTCAGCTATAGATGTATTTTATGTAATTGATTGAAATTTGATACCGTCACCTAAGTGGAATGCTTCAAATGGGAGTTTGATTCAAATTCAACACATATTGATTCATGAATTTATCACGGTGGAGTCCTCGTATACCGATGATGCTCATTGCTGAGTACCAAGAATCCAAGATGTATGTTAGACATTGGGCTAAGCACTTGCTTGATGGAAGAACGAGAGAAGGCATGTATTTCACGCCCATGCGCATCAAAATATCGAGGCATGCCAAGAATATTGACCCTTGCGATCAGGATTTGCCGTTGCTAATCATTCGCTTCTTAGGAGTGCTAGGGTACCGGTTCCTATGTTTGGAGGCTGAGAAAGGACTTGGCAGGGTAAATCATAACATCTATTGATATTCACGAAGTAAAGCAAAGCAGTATGCTTTAATATGTACCTTTCATGTTCCCTTTCATTCTATCTTCATCCCTAGCTTTCTAGGACCGATGCCGAGGATTCATACGAGTTCTAGGGGATACGACCCCTAGAAAGCACGACCACACAACCACACTGCCATACTTTCATTTTCCTATGACAAATCCCCCATCCCCCTCTCAAATTATTCGGTTCGATTAACCAGTAAGTTCCTTCATGAACGCCCCTGGGGTAGGAAACAGGGTATTTCTCTTCATCTTATATTTGTCACCGAAATCATCACGGTATTGCTTTTCCCTTTTGATAGCCCATTGCCGCATTTGTAATGTCCCAACAATAGCAAAAATGACCGTACTCCAACTCTTAGTCACCAATATTACACCGATCCATGAGAGTATCTCGAAGAAATAATTGGGGCATGTTACCATGGAGAAACCGTAACCTTGGGGGATTCCGCGCTCAGTTCCACCCGGCGAGCGAAGATTGGAGAGAGTGAAATGGGTTTTAAGGTTCGAGAGCTCGCCAAAGAGGTAGAGAGCTACTCCAACTATGTTTACATAGTCTAAGTTTGGGGAGGAGAGAGCGGTGTAGGATGAAGGGGCGTATATGAAGTAGGCGATGTAGAGGCCGCTAAGAAGCCAGTAGTGAGCGCAATTTTTAAAGATGTTGCTGGCTGGCATTGTGGATAGGGAGAAACGGTGGATGAAGATCGTTTCATATTCGCGTTTAAGGAAATGAAGGACTATGAGAGTCATAGAAAGAAGCTGAGAGTTGGAGAGGGGGGCGATGGAGTTGGTGGGGTGGGAGTAGATGTAAGGGCGGAGGAGGGGGACTGCGAGGTGGATAAGGATAGGACCGAGGTATTCGATTATATAGACGGTGCGCCAGCCTAATTGAGGACCTATGATGTTCGACAGTGTAAGTTCAATGTGTATTATTTTACGTGGTCGGTGGCAATCATGTACGTACCTAGGTCTTTGATCAAGATTTCTTTCCCAATAATCACTTCTTTATGTTGTGAAATGAAGGCTTTCCTATCTTTCAAAATCTTCTTATGTTCTGGATCAAAAATACCGAATCGATTGGGATCCCAACCTCCGGCTTGTTTGGCCAATTTATCTTTAACATCTTGAACTGTAGTTGTTTCGTCGATATCGATAGAGGTAGGGAGACGTTTGATGGGGTTTTTAGGAGCTTTAGAAGTTAGCTTTGGGGATATTCAATGGCAAATTGAAGAACTTACAACGATTTGTTACCTTCAAAGTGACTGCCATCTTGAAAAATCTGACAGTATATAATATAAATAGTTTGATAAAAAGTTGTTGAGGTTTTAGAATAGTATATTGCAACTTGCTGGGTTCTCAAGCTTCAAAATTATTGACAGGGCACGGAACATAACGCCAATTCACCGATCGTCATTATCACGTGATGATGATAGATGGACCAGACGAGCTGAGCCTTCGATAACAACTTTCCTCTTTTTACACTTCCTCCCCAATTGTAATCCATTACAATGTAACATCGAATCGGTTTATTTCGATAGTGTCCATCTGTTGCCGTTTCTGCTATGGATTTCAATTGGATAAGGTTATCCCAAGTGGCGGAATCATGAGATATATACCTTGCATTGAGCTCACAACAACCCTTGCACTGCAAGCCATCTTCTCCTCATCCATCGTTCTGCGAGAAAATTGGAAGTTCTGAGCTTCAGCAGCCCTTGCTTTAGTTGCTACAGGCCATCGAAAAAAATGAGAAGAGGAGATTGAGGGGTTAGTCTGGGATTTAGCTGTCCGGTAGCCAGTGATTTTGCAGCTTAGTACTATGCAGAACCCTTTGGATCGACGTGTCTATGTGGAAAGTCTCACTTGCGTAGATCTTCAGCTTGGTTTTCAGCAGCAACAAACACAAATCGATATATCTAACAAAGATAATGTCCATGGGTATGGATTGTTCTTCGGTCTCCTATATCTGTCATTATATATTAGATAGTTTTTCAATAAGCGTTGTCAAAATCATTGCGTTCTTCTCTCTCTCTTATAAATATAAATCAATACCCCGAATAGTGGCTTGCGGGGTCGGGTACAAAAATCGATGTTGTGTCTCAATTTCCTTCTTAATAAACCAATCAAATATCTAAATGGCTTTGGAACATCCGTTCGTGCAACCATATGAATCATAACTTTTCGCATATAAAAGAGGCAACTTGTGCAGGCCCACTACTCCGTACATATCAAATGGAGCTTTGTCCGTATCTGCGTTGTCCAATAATTTCTGGATATTTCAGCCTCTTAAGGTACAACCAATTCTAATGTAACCCTTCAATTTGATATTCATAAGTTTTGATTGGATTAGAATGAAAGAGATCGTCGTTTCGACCTCGCATTTTCTTCAAGATTTGCTGTGAACCTGTGACGCCAATCCCAGTCAGAACACGGCAGGAGCTATCAAATCGGGGGGGGGGGAGCTCCCTTTTCCCTATTTCCCTTCGTCGGTTGCGTACTAGCTTCCAGCTTGCTCTTCCAACCTCTTCCCTTTCTGACGACCTGAGATCCTGAAATCTCTACTCCGTAGATCATTCTCATCTTATGCGCCAGTCATTCCTGTTTCTACAGTAAAGTATAAAGTAACAAGTAATCAGTATTTCCCATGTAAGTCATAAACAACTCAAAGAGTTTCTTCTTCTTATTACTTATTATCTTCGAACAACAACTAATACTCCAAGCATAGAATAACTCATCACTTTAGTCGCGATGATGAGACGTCTTTCGACCGTCTTCAAAAACAAAGACAAAGAGACCAAGCCTTCTCCAACGTCTGCTGAAGATGGGGCGACTTCTTCAAGCGGTCCAGCGCGTCGTTTGACCCTGGGCGTTACTAAAAAATCTACCAGTGGTACTGCAAGCTCCAACCCCCAAGCATTTGAGGGTCCCGATCATAGTGTAAAACGCGCTGGTATTGTTGGAACACTCGAGTCACTTGGAAAGGTCATTAGCATAGCGAATCGACCTTTAAATACTGAAACTGGAGATGGCTCGTATGAGACAAAGCAGGAGCAAACGAGTTTGTTGGATGACCTCAAAGCAATGCGGGTCAAGGATTTGGAGACATTGCAGATGACTTTGAAGCAAGAATTGGGAAGCTCAAAGTTGACAGACGACAAGAACATGCTTATGGAAAGAACTATACAGGTAACCTGAGCCTAAACTTGTTCATACAAAAGCTAATACTAGAAAGTTGGTTGCAAACCTTCCTCAAACCTCCAAGACTCGAGTCAAGCTTACCGAAGTACTGGTTGATGAACTATGGGGCGCTTTGGAACATCCACCAGCTTCATTGCTGGGCGACAAGTACAATTATCGACAAGCCGATGGATCGTGAGTATCCTATGAAGACCATCATTGTCCTTCTCATACTAATGCTTTCACAGATACAATAATATCAGATTTCCAGATATTGGAAAAGCAGGTACAGCATACGCTAGAAGTGTTACTCCGAGAATCGTTCAGCCAAACCCAAAACCAGATCCAGGCCTTATATTCGACACCATCATGAGTCGAGAAAATGGCGGATTCAAACCTCATCCAAACAACGTATCCAGTATGCTTTACTATATTGCAAGCATTATCATTCACGACTGTTTTCGTACCTCACACGAAGATTTTAATATCTCATTGACTTCCTCTTACTTGGACCTTTCTCCTCTGTATGGAAGCAACCAAGAGGAACAGAACAACATGCGAACCTTCAAGAATGGAGAGCTAAAGCCGGATTGTTTCTCTGAAAAGAGACTACTAGGCTTTCCTCCCGGAGTCGGATGCATTCTTATTGTGAGTGCCTAACGCAGGAACCAATAGTCCAGACTAGCAGTCCAGATCCAAGCTTTCATTGTTCGAGAAGTTGCAAATCTTTTGTAGATTTCAAATTATTTCGATCTTCGAAACGAATTAAGAATTCAACAACCTCCCATTATTAGACTGCAGTTCAGACTATTGGACACCCTGAACTAACAAATCAATGATATACCGATAACTGACTTTCATAGATGTTCAATCGTTTTCACAACTATGTCGTCAAACAATTGGCGACAATCAACGAGAATGGACGCTTTACACCTCCCAAAGACAGTCTAGCTGACGATAAAAAGCAAGCAGCATGGAAGAAGTACGATAACGATCTTTTTCAGACTGGACGTCTCATCACTTGTGGTCTCTATGTCAATATCATCCTACTCGATTATCTACGCTCAATTGTTGGATTAAATCGGGTAAATTCTACCTGGTGAGGAACCTTTGTGATCCTATATAGAAGATGCGCCTGGCTAAACGATAATAGGACTCTTGACCCTCGAATCGAAATGGAAAGAAACAGCAAGCCCGGCACTGTCGCTGGAGTTGGGAATCAATGTGCTGCTGAATTCAATCTGCAAGTCTTCCTACCGTCTGTCTTCCTGTACGCAAGGCTAATGTTATATACTATATAGCGTGTATAGGTGGCACTCCTGCATTAGTCAGCGCGATGAGAAGTGGTCTGAGGAGTTGTACTTAAAAATCTTCGGAAAGAGCTACAAGGAAGTCACCATGCAGGAGCTTCTTATTGGTTTGGGTAAGCTCGAAGCAATGACCCCAGAGGATCCTCTACAAAGAGACTTTGCTGGTATGAAGAGAGGTAGTGACGGGAAGCTCAATGATGATGATCTTGTCAAGGAATTGACCGCGAGTACTGAAGATCTGGCTGGATCATCAGGAGCGAACAATGTTCCTGGAGTCCTTCGTGCTGTTGAGATACTTGGGATGCAACAAGCTCGTGCATGGAAGTGTGCGACTTTGAACGAATTCAGAAAACACTTTGGCCTTAAACCACACGAAAAGTTCTCAGACATCAATTCGGATCCAGCCGTCTATGAAAAGTTAAAGGTCTTATTTGATGAGCCAGATTTGGTCGAACTCTACGCCGGATTGGTCTGCGAAGATGCCAAGAAGCCTATGGACCCAGGTGTTGGTATTGCACCGACCTATACAATTAGCCGTAGCATTCTTTCCGACGCAGTCACACTGGTTCGCGGAGACAGATTCTACACTACCGATTACCATCCAGCAAATCTCACGAACTGGGGTGCTAATGAAGTCAAGTACGATTTGAATGTCAATCAGGGCTGCGTTTTTTACAAATTATTCATCCGAGCTTTCCCCAATCATTACTCGTTCAACAGCATCTATGCCCATTATCCTCTCACAATACCGTCAGAAAATAAGAAGATCATGGAGAAACTTGGTCGTACGAATGACTACAGTTGGGACAAGCCAGCCAAGATCCCCGAGAGAAAGAATATCGTCAGTTATGATGGAGTCAAGAGTGTTCTTACTAACGGAGAAGTATTTGGTGTTGATCCCTGGCGTAGAGGTTTCTCTTTCCTCATGGGTAAACCAGGTATGTAAACTTGCCGAAAGAGCCAAAGATTCTAATAGTAACATAAACTTAGGAGCCAATTTTATGTTAGCTGGTGATGGTGAATTCTTCGCCGAGCGACGCAATCAAATGAAGGAATGTCTTTACCAAGATAAATGGCACGAGAGTGTCAAGAACTATTACGAAAGCATTGTTCCAAAGCTACTCAAGAAATGGTCCTACAATATTGGCGGCACCACTAACCAGGTTGATGTCATTCGCGATATTGATAATTCCGGTGAGAACTTCGTCCATCTGAACACCGTCATTTCAATCTAACACAATCTAGCTCATGTTCACTTTGCTTCGAACATCTTTCATCTCCCCCTTAAGAGTGAAGAAAACCCTAAAGGCGTATATACCGAGCATGAACTGTACATGGTATTGGCCGTTATTTTCATCGTGATCTTCTTCGGTGACGTTGATCCGGCCAAAACCTTCTCATTACGAGTCGCTGGCCTTCCAGTCGCACAAGATCTCGGTTCACTAGTCGAGCAGAATGTGAACTTTATCTCAAAGACTAGTCTGGTATCTGGTATTGTCGATACTTTCATGGAGGAACAAAATGCGCTCAAAGATTATGGTGTGCATATGGTGCGCCATTTGTTGAAAACTGGCTTGGGTGTTCATGAGACTGTGTTAGTAATTCCTTAAATCGCCCAACATATTTACTGATATTGCATAGATGGTCACAAATCTTGCCCACAGCAGGAGCGATGGTGGCGAATCAAGCACAAGTTTTCGGTCAAGTCATCGACTACTATCTTGGTGATGGCAAAGAACATCTTCCAGAGATTAACCGTCTTGCGAAGCTCAATACAGCCGAAGCAGATGATGTTCTATTACATTACCTCTTAGAAGGAATCAGTGAGTTATACTTCTGAAATGTATTCTAATGTATTCCCAATACTAACAAGGCTCAGGAATGTATGGCACATTCGGCGCTTATCGAACTTGTCATCAAAACATCACAATCAACGATGGACCGAGAAAAGTAGAATGCAAACCTGGCGATTCCATCTTCACAAGCTTCGTATGTCATTTCCCCCCTTTCCAACATTCAAATAACCGACTAACCAAACTCTTAGGTGACACTCGCCCAAGACCCAAAAATCTACCCAGACCCCAAGAAAGTCCGTCTCGATCGCCCAGTCGATTCCTATCTCGTCTACGGCATCGGTTCACACGCGTGTCTCGGCGCCGACGCATCACGAGTAGCTCTCACAGCCATGCTAAAATGCATAGGCCGATTAGATAACCTGAGAAGAGCACCGGGTCCTCAGGGCGAAATGAAGAAGATCCCTAGAGAAGGTGGTTTCTATGTTTATATGGATAAAATGATGGCCTCGGAATTTCCTTTCCCAACTAGTAAGTTGTTTGGGCTTATTGTCTATGTTCTAAATGATAATCGGGTTCTAATGCTAATGAAATAATCAGCTATGAAAATTAATTGGGATGGCGGCTTGAATGAACCGGTGGTCGTCGCGGCCGGAAAGGGTAAGAATACTTGACTAGCCAAAAATCCGGAGGATTGAAATGGTTGGTGATGATTAGGATGGGATGGGATGCGATGAATGAACGGTGGGCTGAACGTTGGATTTTATGAGGTCAATTTGGCTATATGTATTCAAGCTGTGTTTCAAGGTAATAAGTTGGATCTGCAATCAGGATTTAAGTTAGGGGGTGAGGTGATGTTTTCAAGTTTTGGCATGTCTTGTTATCTGATTTTTACTTTACTGTTGGCTTCAACTCACTCACTTGCGATACCTGGCTATGTACTCAGTAATATGGATTGATTGAATAATTCATTGATCAATTGAATTGATTGAAACGAATGCGATCGATGGGTATGGATATGGATATAGGCATACTATACCATACCATACTATACGTGATCTCATTACGAGTACATTGAGAAAGTGATTTTACTCGTAGTAATAAAAATACCATGTTATCGTTTCCGAAAAGTCGAATAACACCACAATACAACACAACACAAAACAACACAACATAATACAACACACAACACAGAAAATAAATTTTACTAGTATAATTGATACATTAGACAAATCATAATCGTAAATATCTGTATTATACACTACACTATATTTATTACCTTATCTACGACATAAATACATACATATCCCCCTTCCCTCCCCTCCTCCCTCACCCCCTTTCAATACGATATACTTCCTCAGTAATCTTTTCTCTTCATCCACACCATTCATTCCTCACCACACTACCACACCAAACCATTCCCCACCATACCCTATACCCTATACCCTATAATCCTCCCTCTCACCCATCCTTCCTTTCTAATCATCTAAATAAAGTAAAGTACGTACTAACTACGAGTAGTAAAAGTTTAAAAACGGATCGAAAACGAAGAAGAAACAAACGAGCTTGTATGTATGTATGTATGTATAGTAAGGTATCTTAATTATGTATATGTATCTTCATCTTCATCTTCATCTTCGTCTCTGCCACTCTCAGGTATGACAACTCTCAGGTATGATAACTCTCAAGTATGACAACTCCCAGGTATGATGGTAATCTTCCAGATCCATCTTAAGATCGACGCGCAAATTGCATAAATGTGGCCGGCATGCATGTATGCAGAGCCAAACAAGAAAAGAAAAAAAAGTGGCAACAAAGCAAAAAGATATCAATCACCCTCCCCCAGAACCAGCTCCGACGCTTAAAACAAAATCAAAATGATGACAAAAGAGAAGACCTGAAACGATCTCGATCTCTAAGTCAGAGATAGCATATGTGCAAAGAAAGAAAAGATGTCCGTCGAGGGGTCTGTCCTTGGTCCTCCAATCCTCGCAAAAACAGTATCCAGGTATAACACAACATAACGCAACTCTATTATGTTGTTCAGATCATGCCCAGAAAAATCTCTCATCGCTGCTTTCGTCTCATCAATTTTGTCCACCCATCCCCGATCACTATTCCTCCGCCACATCCCCACTCAAACCACTCCCCACCGTGCTCCCTTTCTTTCCCAACATCAACACACTAAATCTCTTCCTCACGCTTCCCCCAAATCCACTCCCACTCCCACTACTCCCCATCCCAATTCCCATACCCATGCCGAGCCCTGCCACCCCCTGACTACTGCCTGTTCCCGTAGTCCCCGGTCTACGTTGAGAACTACTGCTTCTCCTTCCATTATCTATACTACTTCCAGTAGTATAATTTCCTTGTGGAGGCTGAACTGAAAGATCCGATTGCGTTATCCATTCGCCCGAATTTTCCAGGTTGCTATGTTCTTGTTCTCCAGGAATCTGAACTTCATCTATGTATTCTTCTTTTCGACCGCGGTCTCTGTAAGCAAGACCGTTGGTCAAGGAAATGCCGTTCATACTTAATCCATTACCGCTAAAGAAACTCTTGCGATTTTCTTTCTTTAAAGGACGGGTTTCTCGGTCTGCTATACTTCCATTTCGGGTTAAGAAAGAACTGAGACGTTTGGAAGCACCAGTTGCGCGAGTGTGGTGAGGACTATCGAGGATGCTTGTATCGATTGTACCGTTTGTGAATGATTGGGAATGAGGAAGTGTTAAATGACCCCGTGAATTGTTTATAAGATCTCCTTTTGATGACGAAGGTGAAAGTGTCCAGCCTGGAACGAGACCCGGAGAAGTGATTGAAAGATGCGATTGGGGAATTTGTAGGGAAGCGATCTCAAAGGCGAAGGTTTGTTCAAAACCTGTATAATATGTTAGAAAATGACGGTGATTACAAGGGAGATGGGATCTTACAGTGTTGCAAATCATCCTGACTGTGAAGATTAGGTAATTTGGCAAACATAGCTAAACATCTTTTGATCATAATTGCATGATCTATCAACGCAGTCTTGAGCGCATTTTCTATCGGACCTAGCTCTATCACTTCTTCAACTCCATCCTCATCATCGACAGGATTAGGCAACAGTTCCCTATATCTTGCAACACTAGACTCGGAAGTGGGATTAACGGATATGTTGAGTGCTTCAACTAGAAGTGGTGCGATTTCATCTTCGCCATCTGCGATCCTCTTCTCTACAGCTGCCATTTCTTGAGTTTTGCGAATGATTCGTTCCAAAGCTGTTTGGTGAGCATCAAGCTTATATCTATCTACGGAAATAATCTCACTGCGACGTAGAATCGTCGGAAATGTATCCACAGTAGCATAAATTATTTTCTCGGCTGAATGATCGCCGATTGGACCCGAAGTAGTGCGACGAGATGTAGTAGAGAAATAACGAGGATGCGCGGAGAGAAGATAGTCTCTGACGACTTGAGGAACTTTAGAACGTTGGAAGACGTGATGAGTAAGATCCCGATGTGGGCTGAGGGAAGAAATTTGTAAGAATTGACCCTCTACATCATCGACATCGCCAGAAGTAACAATCTGTGCCGAAGGATGTTGCTCTTGCATGCGATCTGTGAATATCGAAGTTCGTTCACTGGGAGAGCCTTCATACACAAACTCCTTGTCGCGCAAACTTTGAGGAAAGCCCATCCCTCGATAAATGACGCGGAAATATTTGGGAACAATTTTGTCAGCCTTGGAAATAGATTCGTATATTGTGGCAATTGCTCGCTGTGTCCTAGCCAACTTGGAAAAATCGAAAACATTGTCTTCATATTGATACTGTAACTCCTTGTACGCCGCGAGGGCGCTACTCCATGCTTCACCCTCTTCGAAGTTCTTGATCATATCGAAATAAATTCGTTCCTTTCGATCGAAGTGAGATTGGGCTGGGAACTCTGGATCGTCTAGTGGGGGCAGTATCTTCGAAGGATCCCATTGGTATAAGTCGGCATGAAGTCGTAATGCAAGCCCAGCTTCTGTATGGTTTCCAGCATTGGTTTGCAACTCTGCGAGCTGATGAACGTATCGAATGAAGATATCCTCCTTTTGCATATCTCGGAGGAATTCCATTAATCGTAATCGGTGAATCATGTGAGAAGCTTCACCGGTGACATCAGTACTATGAACCGCAACGAGGAGATCAAGGAATTCATCGGTGGTGCCGATGAGATCTTTTACTGCGTTGTAAAGAGGATCATCTGGATTTCGAGACAAATTATCGAATAGTGTGAACAGTTCATTGATAAATAATTTCTGCAGAATGCTTTCCGTTAATGGTTTCGATTTGAAAAGGTCATCCAGGCATTCAATAATTCCAGTTTGAATCGCACTTAAATCCTCGCTCATGGTCCATTCACTGACGATCATGGTTTGTAGCACCTCTACTGCAACACGCCGAAGGCCTTCATGCACACTAAGGCATAACTCAAGGATGGGTCCGACTAGGGCAGGCACATATTGCACTTGATAGCCTCCCATTTTGGCCAAAGCGTATTTATGTCGCTCATCGGGAGTAGTATCCCAACCAGTGTATTCCCATGTTCGTCTCAGAAGCTCGGCACCATTTTCACGGACATCGCCAGCAATCTTCCACACTGCCCGTCGTTTCTGTTCGGGGAAGGTTTCCAGTGCCAAAGAATCACTGCCGACGAGTTTTAGTAAGGTCGTGAAGAACGATTTCCATAATTCTGTATTGTAGTTCTCCGCATCGTCAGGATGAGGCAGAAATCCTTCTAGAAGAATGCCAGCCAGATACTCGAGTGTTTTGAGTGTGGATTTGTGGTGAAAGATGCGAACGCTCAACCAATTTTGTGGGAATGCCTCGCATTCTAATATGCTTAAATGTATATTTAAAAAGTCCTCGATCAGTATTGCCATATCGCCTTGTACAAGCTCAAGCTGCATACCTGCAGGTAAAGTTGAGACGGCAGACAAGACTGCCGAAAGCTCAATGAGAACCTCGTCGAAGTCGGCCTTTTCAGCTATCGCTTTGCTGGGAAAGGGGTACGATGTGGGGAAAAGTAATGACAACCGAGTCTGCGACTTCACTTCGCCCGTTCGTAATGCAACATATGAATCAACTATTTTAGGAATGTAAATGGGGATTTCGGGGCCTAAATTATTCATCTGTATCGCCAATATTGAACAACAAAGTCGGACTTGCTCCCTCCATTGATCGGTAACCTCTGTCGTCTTGCCCCAGTGCGGTGAAATCCACCTGGCCGTGTTCGCAACAAGAGCCTTCATCTGTTCGGGCCGAGAAAATAGATCCAGTCGAGAATAATTAATGATTAAAACAAGTTTATACAATATGAGTTTACCCTTTACCAATGCACATGAATCCATAAAGTCGATGGCAATATGCAAAATCTGCTCTTTGCTAAGTAACCTGGAAAGCTCTGGTAGCCAGGTATGGAAATGTTGAACAGCTAATGTCTGACTTCCCACTAAAATGGGTGCTGTGGTTCTCATCATTCCCTCAAGTGCTTTGAAAATCTGGCGAAGTTGGCGGCCGAACCCTGAACTCGAATGGGTGATTCCAATGTCCGCTTCTTTCACTTTCTGCTGTCCTCTAGCATGGGTGATGAACTTCAAGATATGTCGAACAACTTTAAAAGTGGCGCGTAATTTCCTCGAAGTATCTGGGTCAGAAGGACTGGCAAGTAATCGAGTAAATGACCTTACGAGACAAGGCGACGCGAATGGGTAATTGAATCTAGTCTCAGCGTATTGATCAACCAAGGGACCGAGGTTGAACCTTCGATCATGCACAATGGAAAGAACTGTGACTAAGGCACTGAATATAAGATCTTCGTAATCATCGTTTCCAGTGTGCTCGACCAGAATTCCAAAGATAGCATCAAACACATCGCTAAGCAACTTCACAATCTCAATCTCCGAGACAAAGACCAATCGTTGTAAAAGCTGCTGCAGGTCTCCTGGTGGTTGATCCTTCCACTTAAGTATCCGTAAAAGTACTTTGTCCTGTGAAAACTTTGTGCTGCATAAATATGTCTGAATTCGAAGAGTCGCAATCGGTCCAGTAACAGCCTCATCCTTTGACACATCATCCTTTCCACGAGAACTCCATGGTAAGGAAAGATATCCGGTTTTACCAGCCGAACTACCTCGAGTTAACATGGTTGTCTCATCGTATCTGTATAGAAGCAGAGAGTGGTGCCCATCTCGCATGAAGGCTTGTTGGTCCCAAAGTGGAATGTGGCATATGGCAAGAGGATGATTTGGTGCATCTGCAAGAACCATTACCAGATGGCAATTAGGAACCTCCTGTTGCGGTATAGACAGGCGTAGAGTTTGGCTCCACGCATCGCCTCGTTCGGCTGCCACTGACTCCCATGATCCTTGTCCATCTGCATTCGATGATGGATAGATGGCACCCTCGAGCCGCTCTCCACTTGACTTTCTTACTTCCATAGTTACTTGAAGGTTTGATCCTACAAACGATGAGGCTACAGGCATCGCACTGCCAACCGATCGGGAGAGAAGAGCTTGCTTAGGAAGAAATGCCGTGTCGATAGTAACATAAATATCTGACCTTGGCTTGGTTGGCGCTCCGGAAAAGCCCATTTTGTTTGTCTTCAAAATTCCAGATAGTAAAGTCGGAGTAGACTTGATCAGTCCATCTGCATCTGGACTATTGAACGCTTTCAGATACACTTGTAGACGTTCTGTTCTACGAGATTTTTCATATTGACCGGATTGGCTGGTCATCAGATCACGAATAATCTCTTCCCATCCATCACTCTGAGTTAGCTTGTCATGTCCAAAAGCAGCCGATGGCGCCCATATACTCATAACGTGTTCAGCTTCATCTTGATTTTTCATGAGCGAACTCAACCTTAGAGCTCCAATTCCAACGGTCCTGGAGATGGTTTGACTTACGATTCCAGGCTTGGAATCTCCCCCATTTCGTGAGGACGAACTTCTGTTGCCTCCATCTCGACTGGTGCGCGTTTCAACGCCGGTCTCGGAATTTTCAGAGAGAGAGGTAAGTTTAGGCGTGTTGGATGTATTCCTGGGTTTGCCCCACATCAAACTCCTCCTGCCTGCTTTAGTTGCGCCGCCAGAGGACGGAGGCTTGTCGCCATCTCTAGAACATGAGTTGCCTCTTGATCCGCCACGAGAAAGGGGTTTGCCTGCTGTAACTTGTGATGAAGATTGCACCTTTACTATAAGATATAGCTCACTTTCAGTGGATGGCAAATCTCCAATATCGTTGGCTGCGAGGTCTGTGAATAGCGTTCTCATCTGTCCTGACTTTCCCATACTTGTGAGAGAAGCACTAGGAGGTACCTCCACAATGTACGTTTCCGAAAGTGCCACGCCCGCTGAACCTGGCTTTTTGGTCGCTAGGAAAAACGCTAGGGTTGTGGATCCTGTAGACGCGCCAACAAAAGCCTTCACATCTAACAGTAGATGGTGGAGTACCAAGTTTTCATTCTGAACCGGAGGTTGTGGTTTTTCATCCAGCAGGCTCATCATAGATTGAAGTTTGGTGACATCCACTGCCGAATCATCACCTGTGAGAACCCTACCATGAGCAGCAGGATCCCGAACAATGACCTCTCCATTTAATAATTTATTACCCCTCACAAGATCCCATACTGTTTTCTCCCTCAGTGATTGAAGCTCGTGTTTTGTACAGACATTATGCAGAATTTGCCTCCTTGAAAGATCCAGTGTTTTGACCAACGTTGACATCTTATCCAATTGGTGGTATTGTCTCGAAAGCAAGAGCTCATGCAAATTTGTAGAGTGCCATTCTCTTAAACAGGATGCGATTTCGTCCACCAATGGTTCAGAGGCGGATGTTGGTGTCTCGTCTCCAATCTTCAGCATAGGTACTGGGGCCGCTGGCTTCGGCGCACCAGGTTTTCGTTTCGCAATAAGTGAAAATCCGTTGACACTTCCGTTCATGAGAACTTGACTCTTTCTTTTCTTCTTCGCAGGTCGTCCATTTGTGCCATTGAGATCTGCTGATCGTTTGGGTTGATAATTTTGGGCGCCATTAATAGAACTAGAGCTTTTGTCTGCCAAAATGCCATTCGTAGATCCGTTTCCGTCCATACCGTCTCCATCCTCCGCAGAAACCGGACTCTCGACCTCATCATCCCCTAGCACTTCCCGAACTTCTACGCAACTGGTTGGGAATATTCCAGAAAATACCCTTGCCTCGAGAGTTTGCCCTTTTATACTTGTCAAGCCAGCCAGCAGACTGGGCGGTGCAACCAGATATCCTCGAAACCATTGTGAATCCTTCCCACCTTGCTCAATTATGTATAACTCATCGCCAAGTTCGAGTGGGAGATCTGCGGGCGAGGAAGCAACAAAAGGGAATGTTGCGACGGCGAATGCGATGCGTGGAAGAGGTTGCCAGGGCATATTATCAACTGCGCATTGGGAGGAATGTGGAATTCGGTACACGGCGCGACGGAGCTATTTAGCAAAGGTATGTCGGTGATAGATAGAGGGAAATCTGATTCATCAGGAGACAAGAGTCTCTACTTTTCCTCTTCTTTCTTCTTTCGCGTTATTAAATTTTTTGATTATTGCAGTACCTACAACCTTATCGTATCGGCAAGAGGTCAAGGATTCAGGGTCGAGGAGAGATCTGGTACTGGTGGATTTGAGTTTAATTGAGGGTTGGATTGAGGATTCGGGCCAAATAGATTTTGGAATTAGGATTTGGTCTCGCCGTTAAGATTGTAAACTTTCTTGGTCTTGGGAGTCGGGGTAAGTGGTTTGGGTAAGGATTGGATTTCATGGAAGGGGGTTCCGTTCAATCCAGGTGTATTGTGAGTGGTTCTTTCAGGGAACCCTCTTCTAAGATTGGGTTATTGGGATGGGTTAACGTGCGCTCAGACGGACGAGACTACCGGTAATATTATCCATTATATCCAAAGGCAGATAATGTGGTTCGGTGATTAGGTAGGTATTTGGATTGACTTGATATCGCAAGATATAATCAGATACTCGATGTTGTACTTACTTACTTCACTTATCGCACCCTTCTGGACTCTGTGAAACGAAAGAAATGAGATAAATTATCTCTATGATAGAACACAAGGCTGAATCATATATAAGGTGGAATTGGTGTTTTCTATTCATTATCTTATTAGGATTGATTATATTATCGTTCATTGTTCGTAATTTTCTAACATACAATCATGATAAATGTATATACTCGAGTATGAGTAAAAGGGATGAAGCTTTTTGTAACTCCCTACTGTACTCGAATACTCGTCTCGTATGTATATACTATTAAAAACCCTGGGATGCACTTAGATGTAGAGAATATACTCAGTTCATTCGATAGCATTTTGAAGTTCATCCACAGTAGTGCAGTAGTAGGTATCTAGCTACTAATATAGACACGCAGCCAGATGTTACAGAGTAATCTATCCTCATGGATGACAGATGTTGAGGATACTTTTCGATTTTTCACTTCTCGGAAGCCATTCGTATGCGGAAATTTGTGGAAAGCACATTGGCACATTGGCAAGCTTCCCCCCATCCCCCCCTTGTTCGGGTAACGAAGTCAACAAACAGCCTTAGTGGAAAGCCATTCTTGTCTGCCGTCTTCTAGCTACAGGGGCTTCATGGCACCACAGACTGCAGAGGTGCAGAAGTAACAAGTTGTCAGGTACAGAGAGCCCTACTTTTTTTAGTATATGACCCTCTTCCCTTCATCATTCCACGTGTCTGTAAGACCACAGCTTTGATGTACAACATATTGGGGTATGGAGAAGAGATTAAGGGTCGTACTATATACTTGTCATTGTCAATATACTGCCTAGGAAAACTCTTGATAGCTGAAAGGTAATTTAATCCTCAGCTTTTGGTTTGAATAGACTTTTATATCCACCAGGATAAAACTGAGTTGAGGCTAAATAAATTGATCAACGCCAGGTTTGACCTGGTACTAAATTGCAGAACGTTCTCGAGCCCATTCTCCATGAATCGTTGTCGATCATGAGGAACCCGGTACTGTTGAAAATACGAGTAGCATTCATGTGAGCTTCATTCTTGGGAGATAGATACGCAAACGCATATCCAATTAAAAGTCTCGTCTTTCTCGCAAAAATTAAATGGTAGATCATACCTACAGTAGTAGACTATATATTCGGTTGCTGAGTCTGCTTCCCCTTTACAGGCATCCCGTGAGGCTAATTTAGCAAACAGGGGGCCTTTTAGCCTTCTCACGTTGAGAATGTAGTACTTATCAGCTGTTTTATATCAAAAATTATCAATTATTCGATTTTTCAACCCTATAACAAAAGTTCGAGATTACAAAAACTTTAAAACTTTAAAACTTAATATCTGAATATTAAATCACTAAAATTTATTAGAAAAAAATTCCAAATATTTTTATTCAATTATTATTATTTAGAATTAATATAATTAAAATTTTCGCACCTATGTCCTATAACAAGAGGGTATATTAACCCTTGTCTCTTGAAA